TTATTATAATAAATATATCTGGTTTCCTGTAAGCCTATAGGAATGACTACCTGCTTCCAAATGCTAAATTAATAATAAGAACTACTATAGCTATTTTCTCACTCCAATCTACACTTTACTGATTTCAAATCAGTGATTCCAAGAGCGTAAATAGTTTTGGGACTCAGAAGCAGGGTGACTGAGATTGGACAAGATAAAGATGAGGCTAACTTCCATGTCCTCTCTTTGTCTTCAAATTAGGTCCTGGTTCTCCTTTTGGTATATTTTTAGTTCCAGCCTACTTCACTGGAGGAAACCTCACCTCACTGCAGGATTTGCCCAACAAAAGTTTTAATTTGCATTCCTCTGAGGATTAAAGATGCTAAATGTCTTTTTAAGTGCAAACATGCCATTCAAATATCTCCTTATCTTCAACTATTTTACTCATTTAAAATCAGACTATTTGTTTGTTAGTGATTTTTAATAGATCTTTATATAGTTTAAAGAACCTGGGTGGCATTGTGGGTTAGGCATTGGACTGCTAACTGAAAGATCAGATATTCAAACCAATCTCTTGAAGGGAGAAAGATGAGGCTATCTGCTCCCAGAAAAAGTTGAAGTCGTCAAAGACTTCATTTTGTTTGGATCAACCATCAATACTCGTGGAATCAACAGCTGAGAAATCAAATGATGTATTGTATTAGGTAAATCTGCTACACAAGACCTCTTTAAAGTGTTCAAGAGCAAAGATGTCAGTTTGAGGACTAAGGTGAGCTTGACCCAAGCCATGGTATTTTCAATGACCTCATATGCATGTGAAAGATGGACAGTGAATAATGAAGACCATAGAAAAATTGACGCATTTGAATTATGGTGTTGGAGGAGAATATTGAAAGTACCATGGACTGTAAAAAGAATACACAAATCTGTATTAGAAGAAGTACAGCCAGAGTGCTCCTTGGAAGCCAGGATGACCAGACGTCATCTCTGATACTTCAGACATATTAGCAAGAGGGATCAGTTCCTACAGAAGAACACCATGCTTAGTAAAGTGGAAGGCCAATGAAAAAGAGGAAGAAACCCCCAAAGACATGAACTGGTACATTGGCAGCAGCAATGGGCTCTTAATCTATCAATGATTGTGAAAGCGGCACAGGGCTGGGCAGTGTTTTGTTCTGTTGTGCATAAGGTTACT